TGTATGGCGTGTCAAGATTTGGCCAAGAGATAGTGTATGCAGTAGGCTTTTCCGGATTATGCGTTTTTTCTTGGTCTAAAATGGAAATGGAAAGTGTTTTGAAAAACCCCTATAAATCAATTTTTTTTCTAAAGAAAATGCAAAAATTTACCCAAAAAGCACAAAAAAAATGCCACCGTTGCCATGGTAACAAAATGGCGACAGCTAGTCGCGTGACATTTGGCACCATGGTGATCATTCATGGTGATCGTGAAGTACCTATCGCTTGCAGGGAGTCGTAAAATACCGGTATTTTACGACTCCCTGGCCCAAACTACAATGTTGTAGGCCAAAGTGGGTCAAAATGGACAAAATACATTTTGACCCCCAAAATGCAAAAATATGCAAACACGTAATCCGGAAAGGCCTAGTATGCAGGCTTTGGTCATCAGCTTCATAGAGGTTTTTCGAATGATGTCACGTTGGCAAGCCAGCATATTGATGGGTGCTCAGCATACATCATGGTTTGATGGATTCGCTCATGGCCTTTCACACGGCTTGATAATGTCACGTCTTCTCGGCCACTCGTGAGAATCACGAAGGTGATCGTCAATTTGTTTGAAATCTGAATCGCAAGACAGTAGCCCCGTCCGCAATACCCTGAACCCAGTTTGTGTGTTATCGATTTCGCTTTTGCGTTTCCTGTACTGGTTTGTGTGCGCCGTGTCGGCAGAGCTAGTCGTCGTGTAAAGTGTCGTGCTGCGCATCATAGAACCATGGGAGCGTGCAATCGTCACCACGTACCGTCGTGCGAAAGGCCTAAAAGTGTGCAGCTTGAGTGTTTGTTTTTTTGCTTGAGCTAGTCATTGCTGCGCCGCGGCTGTTGTCACTCCGCACAAAGCATATTACAGTCAGACCTCGCTTATGCGGTACTCTTTTATCCGAATCCCTCGCCATCCGAAAGCAAATCGTTGGTCACCGATTTACAGCACATGCCATGCATACATACAGTATGTGTGTTCGATTATCCGGTTCCCTCGCCTATCCGGATAATTTTGTTGAAAACGTATGTGTGCGGTTTTAAGCTAGGTCTGACTGTACCGGATGGTGTACTCGCATGACCTGCCCTATAGCGCCATGCATATTATTCAGCAGCGTGCACCAGTATGCAGAATATGTGTTGAGATATTGGTAGTGGGCTACATGCTTTGAGGAAAGTGGTTCAGAGCAGAACTGGCCCCGACCAAACGGGTAAGGAGACCTGTGATAGTCTGCTGTTACTCCAATATTCATGTTTGCTCACTATCACTGGGCAACTGGTGGGCCGAAACAGATTACGGTAAAGTAAGGGAAGTCGAGGCTAGGAGGTCAAAAGGAATGAGAAAAAACGTCTGCGCAAACTGTGCTTACATTATCGGGCATTAATATTTTAACTCCTTTGACTGTGTGAAAGGTTCCTGTTTTAGGTCGTAGAGTGTCTATTTCCGTCTGCCGCTTCTGAACTAGTGAACTGTGTGGTGATGTGCAAGTGATGCTGGGGTGACAACTGAGGGAATGATGAAGTCATAATGTGATTTGAAGCCATGGAGCACTTTTTGAGTAGTGAAGCACATTGCATTCTCAGTTTTCGGAATATCGTAAAAAGTTAAAATTTATTTGCCTTCTCATAACATTGCATATCTTTTTTGAATGTCGTTGATCGCAGGGGAAGTAACAATCGGCTGGATGAAGCTAATCGTAACCGGAACAATGCTAACAGGTACGACCACAGCACTGTCAAAGATTTCTCAAACTTAAGCTAAGGTGTGGCTCTTGTCCCAGTGGTGACTGGAGATTATCCTCAGATCCCCGAGTCTTGGATTTCATGTGAAATAGCATATGCTGGCATAGAGTAGTTTTCGGTGCTATCTGCTTATCTCGGAGTCCAAGTATGTTTATCTCGATTGACGCACAACCTAAACGTCCCGAGAGAGTTTCACTTTACTAATCTCAACCAATCCAGTCACACAAGTAACTACAGTTAGTGATTCCAACTTACTTCTCAAATCCGTACCCTCATTCCCAAAGAGTTACTGGATACGAGCCAAGACAATGTTCAACCTTTCTCTACCATCACAAAGGAATAATGACTGGCTGGCTGCAAGAGCAGCGGAAGTCAAGCCGAGAATGTCGCGCGTACTACGGACTGCACGATGGAACATGTAAACCTAGGAACGGCTATTCATGCACCGACTAGAGTAGAGGCAAAGTGTACTAATGGTGAAACACAATGTCAGTAGGGGACAAGAGTAACTAGAGTCAGCTATGCACGACTAGACCAGGCCGAGTCATGACAGCAGTCATTACACTACAAGTGGTACATCGGGATGCAGATCACGACACTCCGGCCAGCAAAATGTTACACTACTGGGTAAAGAGAAGAAAGGGTGATAACGAATAGAAAGCAATTTGGATCTAATGAACAAACGCAACGGGGTGGTTCTCACGAAAGGGCCTAGTGTAATGCGTGTTTTGAGCTAAGGCTGCTATGAAACTATCAGAGTTAAAATGTGAGGCTAATGGAGTGTTCTCTCACTTAATAGGCAACTATACCGGGTACCTGTTGCCGAAATGGGTTCATGCGAGCCAAGATTCAATGTTCTTCGCGGCTCTTTCTGCTGCCTTTCTTCTTGGTCGCTGTACAAGTGGTCGATTTGGCGCGTTGCCCTTTCGCTGTTGTGGCTCTTCCGTCGCTGCATCGTTGGAGTCCTGGGGAGATGATGGCTCTTGGATTCAGGCAGTCATTCAGGCTCGGTGCTGACTTATTGATCTTCGCACTGGCGTCATAGACCACTCGGAGCTTGGTGGTAGCCTTCGAAGGAGACAACACTGGATGGTGCGGCAGATGGTGCGAGCGTTGACCGCACTTGGTTTTCTCTGTGACTCGCTCGATAATGCCAAGCCTTTCCTGCTGCAGCAGCACGTCGTTGTACCTGGTCAGCAGGTCTCGATCTGCTGCAAGCCGTTTTCCCAGTGACTTCATCCTTCCGTAGGCTAGGTCCTTGTTGTGTGGAAGCTGCATGTCGGGCTTCCATGGAAACTGGACTGTGTAGCGGCCGTCGGCAAACGTGACGGTCTCCTCGAACTGTCGAACCGTGTCGTCATCTGTTGGGAGACTTGCTGGGTCCTCCACACCGATCCTTTCTAGCGACCAAAACTCCGTCAAGTTTGGTTCGACTTCAGCAAGCAGAGCAGAGTCGGCGGTTGCCATGTAGTCATATAGCGGACGCTGTAGACCGGTGCTTGCCTGCGTCATGACAAGAAGCGTTGAGCTGTTGCTGTCATCCGACTTGGACAAACACTGTCCTGTGACGACGTGACCCAAGAGCGTATCCATCACATACAAACCTGACGGTAGACGCTGCGGTGATCCTTGCACAAGATTTCCGTAATGATCAGAACCAATGAGAATGTCAATGGCCCTCGTCTCGGCTGTTGATGGTATGGTGTCTGCCATTTGATTGGATGGTTCGCCTGCCAGGAACTCCGCATCTTCAGATGGAAGAGGGTAGCGTCGGATAGGTCGTGTAATGGTGTCGAGTACATTCGCTTTGATGGGGTACCTCTGTCCGTCGGACAGTGAGATGGACGTCTGAACGACCGATGTAACAACACTGCGTGGGTGTGTCACTCCAAAGGTGATGAGGGTCAATGACTCTTGTCTCTCCGGCTGCAGCTGAAGCTGCTTGCTGAGCTGGGTACTCATGTACGTGCGATTGCTGCCGGTGTCCAGTAACGCATGCGCGGTGATAAAGCTACCATCGGCAGCTTGAATCTGCACTTGTGCTGTCTGGAGGAATACTGCACCAGTCTTGTCGCTGGGACCCTCTGACACGAGACTGGCGGAGCACGTATTTACAAGTTCCTCATCATTACCCTGTGTGGAGACGGCCCTGGCAGGTTGTGAGCCATTTGGTTGTGGCCTTGAGCTGCCTTTGGAGGGCTCACGTCTCTCATGGGCTGGGCAGATAGCTCGGTTGTGGCCGGTCTTGCTGCAGTGAAAACACGCCTTGGTTTTCTCTGGGCACTGGGACGCCATATGGCTCCGTCGCAGACAAATGAAGCAACGACCTTGTTCTCGGAGCTTCTGTTGTCTTGTCCGAGCCAGCTTGTAGGTGACGCACTGGTCGTTGAAGTGAGTCCCCTTGCAGAAGACACATAGACGTGGAGGCGCACTATGCGTTGATGGTGTACTAGCTGTGCTAGTACTTGTTAGCAACAATCCGAACTAGCGCACACACTGCACTGCATTGCTTTGTACTGCATTCAAGACTGACGTCATGCGCTTTGTTTTGCTGCGTAATCACAAATGGCACCAGCCCATTTTTGCGGAAAAGAAAAACAAATCTTGCTTGCCCTGTTGTGCTCTTCCAGACAACGGATCGTGCTTCAGCAGTGTTTCTTTTCCTTTCGTAGCTTTGCTGCCAGCCCGAGTGTCACCTCGACACTGTATTTCTTCAGTATGTCTGACCTTACTGTCGACACTGTCAAGGCAATGCCTTGCCAAGCCCTCCGCGGCGAGCCTTCTCAGCGCGGCTTGAATCCGAAAGGAAACTTAGTAAAAGTATTTTACAGGACCGTTTGCTGGCACAACTAGCCCTTGGTAGTGAGGTCTGCTCCGGCCAGGAGAACCAGCAACATGACAGTGCGGACACGGCTCGCGAGCCCAGAAGCCCGACGTGCACCAATGCCTCCTCCGCCAGCTCAGGTGACGCGGGCTCATCAACGGATCTCTGCGCTCCTGTACGGGACAAGGTGTAGTCGGCTTTGTCGGCCGCCATTTTATCATTATCGGAGAGCATTGTGCCGCTCCTCACCCAAGGCCAAGGCAATGCGGCAGCTGCCGCCACTACGCCAGGCCAAGCTCCTGTAACCCACCCGATCAGCCACCTGCACCAGCTGTGCCCAAGGCTGTGCAAGAACGTATCTTGCGAGGGGAGTTCGTAGATTTTTCAAGTTTGTTGCCTGAAATTCTTGCACACTTCCGGCCCAACATTCTGGCTGGTGCACAGCCCGAATAACGATAGCCAGCTAAATATCGTTGAGTCGGATGACGCGAAGCAGGTGCGTCGCAAGGTTCACGATAATTACACATGTAGCTACCCGGCTCGAGGCATGGACCACATACATGTCTGTTATCACGGCTGCTGCCCTACACCGCACTGCTGAACTGATTGCGTACCAGCAGTTGATCCTGACTGCTAACTGCCAGTTCTTCCCAAGCGCGTGGCTAGAGTACGACCGCCAGCTGCGGATGCTCGTGGCCCAGTAACCAGGCACGAAGAGGTTGGACACCATCGACGTGAACCTATGGCAGATAGCCGTCACAGGCCATGCACACCCAAAATGCGCTCAATGTAAGACGGTCCATCCAGGGGCGGTTTGTGTCCTTTTCGTCCCGAAGCCAGCAGCATTTACCTCCAGTGGTCGCAACCATACCAGCGACGGCCAAGAAATCTGCCGCAACTTCAATGGAGGTCGCTGTTCTTCGTCGTCGTGCCGCTTCTCCCACACCTGCAGCCAGTGTGGCAAGGACCACCCATGCATCATGTGCAACCAGCAGCAGCGCGGAGCCAATCGGCCACCCCGCCGCTCCTAGCAGAATGGCTACTGAATCGCTTGACTCGGTACGTAGCTTCTTTCCTATACACTCTGCAGACACCACACTGCTAGCTGACCACTTTGCCCGCCTGTTACGTAACCACTCAGATCAATCATGTGTTGCGTATGTTCTCCATGGCCTGCGCCGTGGCTTTACTCTTGGATCTGCCGGCCAACACGACATTTCGGTTTTCTCTAATAATCTACCATTGGCTTTCACTCACTCGGCATTTATATCCGAGCAATTAGCTGCTTCCTGCGCCCGCAGCGAGACCACAGGCCCATTTCCGTCACCTCCATTTCAGTTCATGCGCCGCTCTGGTATTGGTGCCATCCCCAAAAAGAACGGCAAGCCGTGAATGATCCACCATCTGTCTAGTCCGGAAGGCACCGGCGCGAACGGCAGCATTCCTGCCGAGCCGCTCTCTCTGCACTACGCGAGCATTGACAACGCGATCAACATCATCATGTCATGCCCACAGCCTGTGCATTTGTCCAAGCTCGATGTACGCAGTGCATTTCGGCAGATCCCAGTCCGCCGTCAGGACTTCGCTGGGAAGGCTCCTACTACTACGAGCGCTTTCTGCCTTTCGGCCTCCGCTCCAGCCCAGCCGTCTTTGACTCAGTAGCCACAGCAGTCAACTGGATCATGCAGCACGAGTTTGCTATAGATCACCGGCTTCACTACCTCGATGACTTTCTCGATATCTCCACTGGTTTGGCTGCAGCCAACCAGCAACTTACCATCCCCCTCCGGGCGTTCACGTATCTCGGCACTCCTCTTTGCTCCATCCCAGCTCAAAGGGCCATCACCATCATTGACCTTCCTTGGTATTGTCCTAGACTGCGAGCGCCACGAAGCTCGGCTACCAGAGGACAAGCTGTCCGAGATCCGTGCGCCACTCATGGCTACTATCAGCGAGCGCAGCATCGGCCAGCGTCAACTCGAGTCCCTCCTGGGGAAGCTCACTTTTGCTGCCCGAGTCATCGTTCCTGGACACACATTCATGCGTGAACTATGATCAGCGTGCCCTGAACTGTATCTGTGTATGCGAGTGCGGTGCATAAAGCCCACCTGAAGAATGGGTTTGCCGGCCCCTTAGTAGATGCGTGGCTTCT